CTCACAGCCTGCGGACCTGCTTCAACAACACCTGTACTCGTACCAACCACCATTGGGCACAAAAGGCCTCGTATCGTGTTCGACAATCCCGGGGGAGGAGGAGACGCGGGGTTTTCTTTTTCTTCCGATGCATGAAAATGGTCGTACTTTTTCTCACTCAACTATGGCTGCCATAATTCTTTTATTTGATGATAAAGCTGCAGCCATATCTGATTTGTCAGATGTGGGAAGACGCTATGCAACAGATAAACACTAAAGCGTTAAGTTGAATTTTAGTAACATGTGGATTAAAGGTTGTAAAACTGAACTATTTGTAAACAACTAGATAGAGAGATAATATTGTAATTTATTTTGTTGCTATAAGCATTGTTACTTACATTGATTCGATCAACAATATTTGTAGGCGAATGTGTTTCTTTTTGCAGCGAAATGTTTCAGAATTTGCCTCTTGTATGTTGAATTAAATTCGCGAATTTTTGATCTCTTCGATTTTGGTAACAAAGTAGTAGCTGTATGGTCAATTTAAAATCTGGTTGTATATCGCAGCTATTGTGGTAGATTTTGAGTCTACAACAAAAATAAATTTAAGTAAAAAAAATGCTTAAATACATAATGAAATGTGTTCACACTCCTACGAAACTGTGTCCGGTATTTGGACGACTCAATCCAACAACCAACCAAACGAAAACGACCGAACACTACAAAACACAAGCGACCTCACTACAGAACACAAAGAAAACCACCGAAAAAGACACCGAAGAAATCGTGACATGCAAGAAGTATATGTATGGCAAGAAAAACACATCAATATCGTTATTTAATAAAAATACAGCGCCATCTGTTGTGGAGTAGCGGAAACGGCGCCAACATTCCGCCCACCAAGAACCTTGTTCTTTCCGCCCACCATGAGGTTCTAAGCGTCTTCATGTAATGTAATATCTCTAGGTAACAAAATAAGTTTACTGATCGGCCGTATTAAAACAGATGATTTACATTTCAATTTAACCACCCTAACAGTTTTGTCAGCTCCGGGAACAAGTTCTAGAATTCGCGCCAATAACCATTTGGCTGGAGGTAAGTCGCTTTCCTTTATAATCACTAATTGACCAACATCTGGACACATCGAAGATTGTTGCCACTTTTGTCTCCTTTGTAATCCTTGCAGATACTCTGTTGACCAGCGTTTCCAAAAGTGTTGCGTCATTTTTTGTACTAAGGTCCATCTGTCTAAAGCACTTACTCTTATGCTCTCATAGTCTGGTTCAGGAATTATCATAGTTGGCTCACCAATAAGGAAATGAGCTGGCGTTAATGGAAACAAATCGTCCGGATCATCATTAAGTTGACAGAGGGGTCTAGAGTTTAAGCACGCTTCGACCTGTGATAGCAATGTAGTCATCTCTTCAAATGTCAACGTTGAGTTTTCAACGACCTTTACCAGGTGTGTTTTGGCACTTTTAACAGCAGCCTCCCAAAGACCGCCAAAATTGGGTGCTCTAGGTGGAATAAAATGCCAGATAGTGCCTTCATTAGCTAATAAATCAACTATATCTTTCATACCACTTGAACAACGAAGATTGGCGTTATCCTTTAACTCTTTTGCGGCCCCTACGAAGTTTAATCCATTGTCACTCCAAACATCTGAACAATGTCCCCTTCTGGATGTGAATCTCTTGAAAGCCGCAATGAAACCTTTACTGGTAAGATCACTCACAACTTCAAGATGTACTGCTTTTGTTTTCATGCAAATAAAAAGACAAATGTACCCCTTATATGATTTGTGGCCTCTACCCTTAGCGGTATGCAACTGTATTGGACCAGCGAAGTCGACTCCTGATGTCTTAAACGGTCTGCCAGGTGTGATACGAACCGAAGGAAGTTCACCCATCTTTGGCTGTAGAGTTACACCTTTATATCTCACACAAACCACACATTCTCTTACACATTTCTTCACTAACGGTTTTAGTCCTATAATCCAATATTGGTTTTGCAAGAAATTTGTCATTAATCTATTTCCACCATGAAGCAATTTAATATGAGCGTCCCTGATAACCAGAGTAGTTAGGTGATTGTTTTTGGGTAATAATATAGGATGTTTTATTTCTGAATGTATCGTAGCTCCTTGTAATCGTCCTCCGACTCTCAGTATTTGGTTCTCATCTAAGTAAGGAGATAGTGTTCTTAATTTACTTCTTTTCTTCACCATACCGTTCTGTTCTAAGTCCTTTATTTCTTCCATAAATTCTTGTTTTTGAGCTATTTTTATA